CAATCGCCTCCCCCGGGCCCGGCGGGAGGTGGTGCCGGCTGCGGAAGCCCCGGGAGGGTTCCTGGGAGCAGCCCGCGGTTCCCTGGCGCGGGAAGCCCAGGGGTGACCTCGAAAGCCGTTATTTTGGGGGTGTGGTGTTAAAAAAGAAGTGTTTTGTGGGCAAAAGTGTCGTGTCAGGGATCGGTGTGAGCCACTGGGCCGCTCCAGTGTGCAGGGGGGACGCTGTGAGAGCTTAGTGGTGTCAGGGAGAAAGGTGGCGGCTTTTACTCCCCTCCGGGTTTCATCTGCTGCCGCCTTTCCTTAGGGGGAGTTCAGGTGCTCCTGCAAATGCCGGTTATCCCAGGGAAGCCTCGGAGGCTTCCCTTCCAGACTTGCTGTGTGGAAGTGGGGTGCTGCTGAGCCCCTCCCCGCCACCCCGCTCTATGCAAAGACAACGGGAGTTTGGTCGCTGCTGGCGCTGGCGGTTCCCGACATGAACGGCCTGGTTCTGGTGAAGGAGAGCCTGCGTGTAAAGGGATAAGGCCGCAGTACAGTAGTGTCTGCACTGGAGCTGGCTTTCCCTAATGTGGAAGCATGTAGCGTTTGAATTTACGGTTGTTATGTACGGTTTTTAGATAGCATAACAAAAAAGTTGTAGTCACTGTAGCTTGGGAATCCTGCAGACAGGAATAGGCCTGCTGAAAGATTTAATTTCAGTTTCTCTTCTGGATTAACAGTGAAGGCAAAGCATTTGGCATACGGGCTAGGCTACATCTTTTAGTGTAGTGGTACAAGAATAAATTTTTTTCTCCTCCTTGTCTTCCTTTATGCTGGGGGATTTCTTGGAGATCTCTAACCTCCTATAAGAAATCATGTATGAGTATGGTTATTTTAAAGTACCAGTATGTTGTGCTGATAGCTTTTTGCAAAAGCTTGTTACTTCATAGCAGATTTTTTTTTTTTAATTGTTTATCAACTGGAGTCTAGAACAACTTTAGAGTAGTAAAATATGAATTTGATGTTAAATTAGAAAAGTATAAATTAATCCTGGAATCTTCTAAGGTTTCCTAAAAATCTCAACTTCACCTTTCACCCTGTTTAAGCTATTCTGGTGATAATGATAGTCAAGATTAATAAGCTTTAAATTGCTAAAAGTTCATTATCTTACATTTGCATGTGGGTGGATGAATCTTGAAGCTTGTGTGTGTCTGTCATCTAGGTCTGACTGGAGGATTAGAATTTAATCACTGACATGGGCAGAAGAAGGAATGAAATGTGTTGGGAGTCCTATTGTAATATAAGATGAATGATATGCATTGATAGCTGTAGTGTTAAAATTTCCATGACTAAACTACCATACAGCATCAGAGTATTACCATAAAGAAAAAAAACAAAAAAAAGTATTATGTCTTGCAGGTTATTTATGCTTCTGATAGAACTGGCACATGTCATTTTTAGTGGCTTGTATTGTTGATTGGTCTTTAAGTTAGGGGCTATAACATTAGAATGATAGTAAGCAGTAAATGTCAGTTTTAAACTGACATTTTAGACATGGTTGTTTGAAAATACAGCATAGTAATTGTTTTTGCAATCTTTCTAGGATTTTCTTAAGCTTTTCTGTAGCCTTCAGAAACCAGTCACTTGAGGCTCAAATCCAGTATTTTCCCAGAGTTGTCTGTTCCCAGGGATGTCAGATTTAAAAGCATGAGCAGACTTGCAGATGTTTGCACTTGACAGAGTATTCAGTTTATTACACTGGTTTGTTCATGCTGTTTAATTTGTAACAGTAGTTCACGCAGCGAGATTAGACTTTGTGCTATCCTTTCAAATGACTTGATGTTCATCTTAACTTGAAAATATTTTGGGGGCTTTTTATGCAGCCTAAACTATACAAGTCCATTATCGAAGATGTGATTGAAGGTGTGCGAGAGCTCTTTGCAGAAGAGGGTTTAGAGGAACAGGTTCTGAAAGACTTGAAGCAGGTTTGTTGGGTTCCTCTGCATTAATAGAAGTTGTGTGTTTTTTTCTTTTGAGATGATGTACCTGTCCATTTCCTTGCCCTCCAAAACATACAAACTTTTGCTTTAAATGAGAGTTATATATATTCTGCTAAGTATGCATTGGACTGCTGAATGTTGAAATTCAGTAGTGATTGCTACCATGTTTATTGGATAGAATCAGTCAATTTACTCTTGGAAAAACTAGGAATATCTGATTATCATTTTAGATGTGTTTTGTTTTTAAAGCTGACCTCTGTTGACCTTAATAATAATCTTTCTGCAGCTTTGGGAAACCAAGGTGATGCAGTCTAAAGCAACAGAAGGCTTCTTCAGAGACAGCCAGCATGGTCCACAGTTTACCCTGCAGTTGCCATACAATTTTCACCATGTTCTGCAGACTTCAGCAGGTCAGATGTTGTTCAATACAACAGATGCAATTTAGGAATAGCTCAGTAACTCAAGAACCTTTTTGGAAGACTTGAAGGTGCTGCATTAATCTTGGTTTGTGATGCTTATGTATATGTCTAGCATGATGAGGAATAGTAGTTACTTGAAAGGAGAATTTGACCAATAAAGGACAAATTAAATTTTGGTAAGCTAATGCAGTTATGTCTACATGCTCTTGATCTGCTGCCTATGTAGCAAAACATGGAGAGAATATTAGCTTTCTTGTCTGCAGTCCAGAAGTGTGGCCCTTCAATTGTAAATTTAACAGTAGGGTTAAGCTTTCTCTTCCCCTTTTAATGTGTGGCATGATGTGGGCAGAGGTTATATGGCACATTTGTGTCATGCAGCTCTGCTGTCATGTTGGAGTTTAATCTGATTTTGCACTTGTTAAAATGTAATCCCTTGCTCAAACAGAAGAATGGGAGTTTTTTGGTTTGTCTTTCAGTTAGTTTTCCTAAAAGCAGTATTCCTGTTGCAGAGGCAGAGATGTGCTTGACACAGCCTCTGACATCAGGACCTGTCCTTCTCAATTAAGTCCAGCTGGCTACTGTGTAAATGGTATGGTAGAGTTCAAGAGTTCAGCTGAGACCTCTCCCCATGTGAGATGCATTAGGACCTTTACCCATAAAGGATGTAAATCTGTGTTGTAGTACACTTCAAGGTTGGGCAGGCACGCTTAATCTCTTTTTTTTTTTTTTTTTACACAGTCTTCATAGTTGAATGTACTGGTTTTGGAGACAGATATTACATGTATTTCATGTGGTTAAAGGGAATATACTTTTGGGTTGGTTTGCTGTTGGGGGCTTTATATTTAACGAGCTCTACCTTGTTACTCCTAAGTTTTGGAAGGGCAACACTAAGGCAAAGTCTGTTGAAGCCAGTGAGTGCCCTTTTTAAAAAAAAAAAAAAAAA